TTTAAATTTCATATACCACTCAATCAGTAGACAAACCCCCTATAACAAAAGTTCTATTTTCTTGAGAAACATGAATACCTAAGGTCTCAAACCTCTTTAACCTTCATACTATGTCAGTGAATGATGCAAATTTACTTTAAAACAAAAAAAAATCATATTTTCTAATTTTTCTCAAAATATATGGGTTAACCCTACGAAAAATCGAGTTTTTTTTTGATAAATGCTAAATTCAGAAGTTTAGGCTCTTTATTGTTGATACAAAATTACCTAATGAAATTCTAAATTTATATTAGTGTATGATAAAATTATTTTCATGGTACATGGGCATCATTTCTACTATTTTAGTGAATATTTTAATAAAACTTCATATTTCACCTAATTTTGTGGAGTAACCCCTATAAAATCAGTATTTTCTAGAAAATCATGGACAACTAAGGTCACACATCTCTGTAATCTTCATCATATGTCAGCTCATGATGAAATTATGCATGAAAACAAAAGTATAATATTTTCTAATTTATCTTGAAATATATAGGTTAATCCTTACGAAAAGATTGAGTTTTCAATAAATGCTATATAAACTAAAGTTTAGCCTCTTTCGTGCTATTTAAAAACACCTAACAACACTTAAAACTTTTATTAATGTTTGATAAGCTTATTTACCTAGTACATGGACATCATTTCTAATTTTCCAACATGTAATTTGTTTAAATTTCATATACCAATCAATCAGTGAAAAAACCCCCTACAAAAACTCTATTTTATGGAGAAACAAAAACACCTAACGTCTTAAAACTCTTTAACCTTCGTACTATGTCACTGCATGATGCAAATATGCATTAAAAAAAATTCTTATTTTTTAATTTTTCTCGAAATATGTGGGTTAACCCCCTACAAAAAAAATAAGTTTTTCGACAAATGTTATATTAAGAAGTTTAGGCTCTTTATTGTTGATAAAAATTACCCAATCACATTATAAATGTGTATTAATGTATGTTAAAATTATTTTCATGGTACATGGACATCACTTCAAATTTTTTAACAGGTAGTTTATTTAAATTTCATGTACCACTCATTCAGTGGACAAACCCCCTATATCAAAAATTCTATTTTCTGGAGAAACATGAACACCTAAGGTCTCAAACCTCTTTAACCTTCATACTATGTCACAGAATGATGCAAATATGGATTACAACAAAATTTTAATATTTTCAAATTTTTCTCTAAATATGTGGGTTAATCCCTACGAAAAGATTGAGTTTTCCAATAAATGCTATATCTACTAAAGTTTAGCCTCTTTCGTGCTATTAAAAAAATACCTAACCACACTCAAAACTTATATTAATGTATGATAAGCTTATTTACCTACTACATGTACATCATTTCTAATTTTCCAACATGTAATTTATTTAAATTTCTTATACCACTTAATAAGTGGACAAACCCCCTATAAACGAAATTTTATTTTATGGAGAAACATGAACACCTAAGGTCTCAAACCTCATTAACCTTCATACTATGTCAGTGAATTTTATGGAGAAACATGAAATTTTATTTTATGGAGAAACATGAACACCTAAGGTCTCAAACATCATTTCAAAATTTCCAACAGATAATTTATTTAAATTTAATATACCACTTCATCAGTGGACAAACCCCTTATAAAATAAATTCTATTTTCTGGAGAAACATGAACACCTAAGGTCTCAAACCTCTTTAAAATTTATACTATGTCAGTGAATGATGCAAATATACATTAAAACAAAAAAAATCATATTTTCTAATTTTTCTCGAAATATGTGGGTTAACCCCTACGAAAAATCAAGTATTTTGATAAATGCTAAATTAAGAAGTTTAGGCTTTTTATTGTTGATAAAAAAATACCTAATCAAATTCTAAATTTATATTAGTGTATGATAAAATTATTTTCATGGTACATGGGCATCATTTCTAGTATTTTAGTGAATAATTTAATAAAACTTCATATTTCACCTAATTCAGTGGACTAACCCCTATAAAATCTGTATTTTCTAGTGAAACATGTACAACTAAGGTCACACACCTCTTTAATCTTCATCATATGTCAGCTCATGATAAAATTATGCATGAAAACAAAAATATCATAATTTCTAATTTATCTTGAAATATATAAGTTAACCCCTACGAAAAGATTGAGTTTTGCATAAATGTTATATAAACTAAAGTTTAGTCTCTTTCGTGCTATTTAAAAATACCTAACAACACTTAAAACTTTTATTAATATTTGATAAGCTTGTTTACCTAGTACATGGACATCATTTCTAATTTTCCAACATGTAATTTTTTTAAATTTCATATATCAATTAATCAGTGAAAAAACCCTCTACAAAAAATATATTTTATGGAGAAACAAAAACACCTAAGGTCTTAAACCTCTTTAACCTTAGTAATATGTCACTGCATGATGCAAATATGCATTAAAACAAAATTTTCATATTTTTTATTTTTTCTCGAATTATTTGGGTTAACCCCTACAAAAAAAATTTAAGTTTTTCGACAAATGCTATATTAAGAAGTTTAGGATCATGGACATCACTTCAAATCTTCCAACAGGTAATTTATTTAAATTTCATACTTAATCAGTGGACAAACCCCCTAGAACAAAAATTCTATTTTTTGGAGAAACATGAACCCCTAAGGTCTCAAACCTCTTTAACTTTCATACTATGTCAGTGAATGATGCAAATATGCATTACAACAAAATTTTCATATTTTCTATTTTTCTTGAAATATGTGGGTTAACCCCTACGAAAAATTGAGTTTTTTTATAAATGCTAAATTAAGAATTTTAGGCTCTTTATTGTTGATATAAAATTACCTAATCAAATTCTAGATTTATATTAGTGTATGTTAAAATTATTTTCATGGTACACGGGCATCATTTATACTATTTTAGTGAATAATTTAATAAAACTTCATATTTCACATAATTCAGTGGACTAACCCCTATAATATCTGTATTTTCTAGAGAAACATGGACAACTAAGGTCACACACCTCTTTAATCTTCATCATATGTCACCTCATGATGAAATTATGCATGAAAACAAAAATATCATAATTTCTAATTTATCTTGAAATATATAGGTTAACGAAAAAATTGAGTTTTCCAATAAATGCTATATAAACTAAAGTTTAGCCTCTTTCGTGCTATTTAAAAATACCTAACCACACTTAAAACTTATATTTATGTTTGATAAGCTTATTTACCTAGTACATGAACATCATTTCTAATTTTCCAACATGTAATTTTTTAAAATTTCATATACCAATTAATCAGTGAAAAAAAAACCTACAAAAACTCTATTTTGTGGAGAGAAAAAAAACACCTAACGTCTTAAACCTCTTTAACCTTCGTACTATGTCACTACATGATGAAAATAGGCATTAAAACAAAATTTTCATATATTTTAATTTTTCTCGAAATATGTGGGATAACCTCTAGAAAAAAAATTAAGTTTTTTCACAAATACTATATTAAGAAGGTTAGGCTTTTTATTGTTGATGAAAATTACCCTATCACATTCTAAATGTGTATTAATGTATGCGAAAATTATTTTTATGGTACATAACATCACTTCAAATGTTCCAACAGATAATTTATTTAAATTTCATATACCACTTAATCAGCGGACAAACCTCTATAACAAAAATTCTATTTTCTGGAGAAACATGAACACCTAAGGTCTCAAACCTCTTTAACCTTCATATTGTGTCAGTGACTGATGCAAATATGCACTAAAACAAATTTTTTTATATTTTCTATTTTTTCCCGAAATATGTGGGTTAACCCCTACGAAAAATTAAGTTTTCCAATAAATGTTATATCTACTAAAGTTTAGCCTCTTTCGTGCTATTAAAAAAATACCTAACCACACTCAAAACTTATATTAATGTATGATAAGCTTATTTACCTAGTACATGGACATCATTTCTAATTTTCCAACATGTAATTTATTTAAATTTCATATCCACTTAATAAGTGGACGAAGCCCCTATAAAAGAAATTATATTTTCTGGAGAAACATGAACACCTAAGGTCTCAAACCTCTTTAATCATCATACTACGTCAGTAAATTATGCAAATATGCATTAAAACAAAAATTTCATATTTTCTAATTTTTCTTGAAATATGTGGATTAACCCCTTACAGAAAATAGAGTTTTTTGATAAATGCTTTATTAAGAAGTTTAGGCTCTTTCTTGTTGATGAAAATTACCCAATCACATTGGTGGCTGGATGGAACTGATCTGAAATGGACTGGACTTCCTCGGGTATGTTTGCATCGAAATCTTTGTACAGGAACTAGGTTTTGTCTCTAGGACGTATGGAGTTATAATGCTAGTTTGTTGCTGAGTTCAAGCTTTTGATTCTATGCACTTTGTTTCTTGAGGGTCTTGGTTTCTCTTTCTGTATGTTCTTAGTTGTTCTGCTTCTTTTTGTTTAGGATTACCTTTGATCTTAAGCACTATGATATCAAGATATTCTTGTATCCATTAAGTTCTCAAATTGAAATGCTAATGCGAAACTGAACCTCTTAGCCGGTTAGTTAATCTGATTAGAGCCAACATGACCGCACTTCTTTTATAGTGAATTACATAATAAATGATCATTCTGTTGATTTGCCAAGGATCCAATTTCCTTTGTTGAACATCTAGTTTTACTCTACTTCTTGATTGTGGTTTTGTTTAGAGAACACTGTTAATACAATGATAACCCCTCAAAACTTTTTATTTATTGGAATAAAACGAGTCTACATACTATTATATTCTGGTAACCACTATCGGTACCATTTATTTACTACTAGTTTACACATGCTCATTAGAACCATAGCAACCAACACTTTAGCTACTCGGTTCCTCACTTGTGTCAGAGACACTGACCACAAAAGCAAAACCAAAACTTATATACTATGATGACTCGATTATACCAGGGGTTGTAAATTCTTCAATGGTGTATTGATTATGCGGAATCACTCTCTTGAGCTTTACCATTGCCAGCTTCTAAATCAATACTATGACTGCTATCCGAGTCCGTGAATTTCAAGTAATTCTCAATGTTCTCTGAGCTCACGTTTCTCAGTTGGTCGAGCCAACGGTGGTGGCTAGTCTGTTTGGGTCTCGGTCGGTTGCTAATGGCTATGGCGTAGTCATTAGGAAAAAGTTCGCACGTGACAAATGCATGGATGATGGTTGTGATGAGCAGTGCAAAAACTACTAGTGTAGCAATGGCACAGAGGATCACACACATGACTTGAGTCATAGTGCTCCTTACTACCGTTGCGTACCTGATGGTTGCAATGGCAGCTCCGGTCATTGGAAATGTATACGCCCACCAAGATAGTGAAAATCTATAAAAATAAAAAAAGATCAGAGATAATAAAAACTTATTTGCAAATAATAATAATGAAATTAAGTGTTCAAAAAAATTAAATAATAATAATAATGAAAGTTTCTTGAAACTTACTTGATTCCACGAAAGAAGTTAATCCGAACAGCCAAAGAGAAGTAGAGGAAGATAGCGATGAAGTAACAAACTTTGGAGCCATAATCAAAGGAGTCAGTGATCTTAGCCCAAGCCATGGAAGCTACACTTGGAGCCGCAACAAAGAGAAAGAACACAGGGTGAAGATCTTTAGGCAAAGTCTCATTGGTCGGTAATCTTTGGTAGAGTGTAACAAACAAAACCAAATAATGAGCCATCCCAACTGCATAAAAAAATATCGGTCCTTCTTTAAGCCCCATGCTTGCACCAAGCAACGCCCCCACAAAGTTCCCAACGATTGAGAGATGGTTGGTCGGGTTAGCGACTCGAGAGAGCCTGCGTTGGCCACCCGACATCCATTGTCCGTAGATTTTTAGCTCGAGACAGATGAAAGGAAACATGAGGAGGTACCAAAGGAACTGTGGCAAATCTGTAGCTATGGAAGGTGGGACACCGAGTGCTAAGAAGAGTAATGAAATGAAAGGAGCGAAGAAGAAGTTGATTCTGATGGGATGGTAGTATTCTCGGCGTACCGCTTCGAAGTAGAGGATGATTTTGAGGAGGTAAATGGTGGCAATAGTGAGGATTAAAGCGACTGAGATGAACCAGAGAACTTCGTTGATCCAGAGTGGTATGTGGAGGAACTTGGTTGGCTCGGCCGTGGCTAGGGTTTTCCACATTATGGCTTGGCTGCTTACTCCTAGGCACATACCAAATGTGGATATTGGGTAACGTAGAAGAAACGGCCATGTTTGTTCACTTGGTAGGACAATCTCTTCTTGAGGCTGTAACGTTCAAAAAAATAAATAAAAGATAATTAGAAAACATGTCTCTCCTGAATATATAGTCTAATCATGTATTGGGTTGTCTATGAGTTTGTAATTCTTTAAATAAGTTGCTAAGCAACATTAATGTAAAACCTTAAAACGGTATGAAATTTAATATGATTATATAAAAATAGAATAGGTATACTTTAAGAAGAAAAAAAACAAGAGTAGGTATATATGTACCCGAAGAGTCTCTAGTTCAGGACCTTCCAAGGCATCATAGTAACGGTCCACAGGCATGGCTTCATGTGTATTTAAATTCTCCTTAGCCCGTTTCGGTGTCTCCGGTTCAATAGAAGCCGGTTTTCTTGTAAATTGTCTCTCGAGTTTCCCTGACCAAGTCTTGAACGAGTTGTACCTGTGGTCCTTAAGCTTATGTAAATACGCCGGGTTTTGATTTTGAAGTTGACCTCTCTGACGATGTTGCTGATGATGATGACTATCATGACGACCACGATCATCGTCATCGTTGCCGGTTTCCATGTAGAGAGATGAGACTTTGGTCATCGGCTGAGAGATGAACTTGACGGATTTGCCAGTTGACCCACCAATGTTGTTGATGTTGTCGGAAGATGAAGATGTCGGATCGGAGACCATAAGAACATTTGGTGAAGTTGGCATTGAAAGTGATGGTTTCCTTTGATGTTTGGTCATCATCCAGGGTGTAGTCTCGTCCATTGCTTCTTGACCATTCTATACATATATATATGTAACATGAATTTGTTAGACTTAGTAATATAATAAATCTTAACCTAATGTTTGCTAATGTGGAAAGCAATAAGTAAAATAAATAATATACCAAATTAGTTGTGGAGGCATGAGAACGATGAAAACGACTGACGAAGTGGGGAAGAGGAAGATTATTATCTTTGTAATTGTCAAAGCCAAGCATTTCTTCTGTTGTGGCTCTTCTTAGTAAAGTTGGCAGCTCCTCTTCAACTTGTATTTGCACACAACTTGAATTATCCTCCATTATTTAATTACAATTCTCCTGTAACAAAAACGACAATTTAATTAGTTTATTTTTAATCTACAAAATAATTAACATTTTCACTTGACATATATCATTGGTTCATCATATAACCATAGAAGTCAACTCAATTGCATTTATAAAATTTTGGGTGGTTTTGAAAAAGGCTATATTGGGGAATATTCTCAATAAAATATTCTCCATGAAGAAGGACTTCTGGCGAGTTCTTGATCCATTTAAATTGACACCTCTTTCTCTCTTATTCCTTTATTATTCTCTATAACATATCTTCCTCGTCTAGAAAAATGGATTTGGGGTTAAATTTTTCAATACCATGAACTCATAATAAAATTAGAATTAGTTTTTACTTTATAAACACAACACTATCCAGCCAATCTTACCTAAATTCTCCACGTATAAACATCTACCTAACTAGCATTAGCAAAGGCTAGTGGTCCAGCCAGGTAGCCACTAAGCTGAGTTTCAGCTGAATGGATTCCGACGACACTTACCGAGTATTTGATATCGTGTGCTACTACACAAAATCTTTCTTTCTAAAACAAAGAAAATACCCAAAATGTCCTACTTTCCAGAACGGAGGTAGTATGTATTAAATTTGCATTTGGTAATCTTCCTAATATTATCTGAGAACATTATTAGTTTTATTACTGTATTGAGATATTCCACGTCATGATCAAAGGGATTACTATTTGATAGATAACCAATTTTCTATCAAAACTGGCCAAATGTATGGTAGAAAAACCTTAACTAAATGGTATATTTTTACGCGTGTGACTTTTTTTTTTTTTTTGAAGCACAATACTTATATTAAAAACGATCAAGGGTTAGTTGGGAGACACAATAAAATATGTTAGAGATGCTTTCTTTAAGGATAGCTATATTTTGTTTTTGTGTATTATTGAGTAGGAGTCGTGTACATACAAGATTTGATTATAGGAGATTACACTAGTGATTGATGTTAATAGATATTAACATGGTGGTTGTCGTGATTAGGTAATCATAGAATTTGATTTGAATGATTAACGGGAATTTATTGTAATGATACTATTTACTTAACGGTAATTTAGTTTAAATAAAACAAAACTCCTGTAAACAACAGACTAATAATTCAAAAGAAACGAAAGATTTCTAATAAATTGTGTGGTGAGCTAAACTGTACCGATCAACTCATCGGGTCCACTTCAAAGTTGTGGTCCGACCGGCCAAAAAGGCTTGTGGTTATTGTTACACTCTAAATGGTAACCAATAACTAGGCTTGTGGTTCTTGTACACTAACAGGTAATCAATCGCTGTGAAAACGCGGTTTCATTCTATATGCTTGTAAACCGGTTTCATCATCCGACGTATACAACTAAACCGGTTTCATCGCATTACGTACAGCTAATCCGTTAAAAGTTAGGGTTATATGGCATCTTGGGGTTTAGTCTCAGTTTTTGTTTTTGGAAGCATTTTGGGTTTAGAATAGAAGAACAAACGGTGAGAAGAAAATAACAATTTTTTTTTAATCAGAACGATAAGTTTTTTTTTTATCGTTGTTAATTCAGGACCCTACTTTGATGCTAAAGCAAGCCCATAAAAAATTGCATATTGCCTTTGCATTTCCGTAAGAAAAGATGTACATAACTAAATCAATACCCTAACGAATTAATTAGCTTATATTTCTCATGGGAAAAAAAAAACTAACCTGAAGATTCTGAGATTTGAAGCCGTGGTCTCGTGGAGATTTATGAATAAAGTGTGAGATTATGGAGAAAAGTACAAGAAGAAGGAAATGCTGCTTGAGATTTTGAAATCTCTTTGATGAAAATGGAGTTTTTGTGGAAAGAGCAGCGAAGATGAATGACAAAAATAAAGAAAAAGCTGAGCTGGTTTGGGCGAAATAAAACACGTCTTTGTATATATATAGAGAGATATGTGTGTTCACGTAAGCACAGTTTTCATACCCAAAATAAAAAAACGTAAGTACAGTTATACGGAAATTTGTAAGTATATGTAGATATACTTAGCTGTAATTCAAAGCTTTCAACGTGGCCGTCTTCTTGTTGATTAACATTAACGTCATTGACAATCTTAAGTACTTTTTTCTCTAATTTTAGACGTATTTTTTCTGTTTTTAAAAGTTTTGGTCATTAGGTGGTGGACCAATTATACACAAAGGACAAAAACAACATTGCAACTTGGAAAACATTTCAAATAAATTTATGCAATTGAAGTTGATATCTTATGTAAAAATACATAAAATGTTGTATAAATGAGATTTGAAAATTCTCATGATATCTTTTAATTAGTAGCTTATCGTCAAGTTGTAATGAAACTGAAGGGGAAAATGATGCTTTTTAATGGAATTTTTTTTTTTAACTAAAATCCCACAAAAATTCCCAAACTTACAAGATGCATATGATTATTTTATATATGGGAATTCATGATGATAATCAAGTACCGTAGTTGTAGGGTCTAAAATAACATATAATTTCATAGCCAATGATATGGTGACATGTAACACATTCGAATAAATGGTTAAAACGACTAACCCGGCCGACAACTTTTATTTTTGTGAGTTGCACAAAGCCGTAGGAAAGAGGAAGAAACCAAATTGGTTTGTACATACCCTTCACAAAGATTGTGTTGTTAGCTACATATTTGACTGATTGATTTGAAGTAGGATTTATGCTGTCACCAAACTGTTTTCGTACACTTATATTTGTCCCGTTATGTGTAGTTCATGTCTTAGAAAATAAACATAATATCTTCCGCTGGTTCCTATCAACATGCGCTGTACATGGGTTTTAAGAGCGGACAAAACTTTGGTTTGACCTTATAGCAGATCGATAATGCCAAAGATAAACTTGATTAACGAGTTACAATAACGATAAAATTAAAATACAGTAGTCATCAGCAAACGTTTTGAATAATGATAATTTAAGGTTTTTCTATTAAACTATATTATCATCAACATGTTGGTGTAATTGGTTGATGTAATGTAACATGAAACTGATCAAACCATAAATCGAAGCTTGGTAATTTATATGGCTGATTTAGTATTACAAATATGGATACATATGTATTTTATTTTGCTAAAATACATATATGTTTGTTAATAGTGCATATAGCTTGATTCTTCAGTTAATATCTTCTTCAATCTATATACGGATCAAAATATCCCTGATTATGGGTTTTATCAAAATAAAAATTATCAGTTATATGTGTTGAATCAAAAATATTTTAAAGATTACGTGATCTGTACGTAACAACAAAAATTAGTTATCATCTGAATAAGAATAAAAAATACAAGAAATATGATTTAAAGCTATAGGAGTAGATGGCTAACCTTTTGAGAATCGAGATAGCAAACTGACTATATACTACAAAGCTATAGTAGTAGATGGCTAACCTTTTGAGAATCGAGATAGCAAACTGACTATATACTACTTCTTTGCGAAATAAGTAAAAAGTCGATTAACCATATAACCATATTAAATCTAATAATTAACAAATAAGACTTTACAAAAAAGTGAAAAGCTTAAATTAGTTTTTCTAAACTATATTCTTTATTTTTTGCTGATTTACCTTAAATTGTTTATTTCTGTTTTTAGCAGGAGAAACTTTTGAATATGATTTTTTATGTCGGAAATTAATCGATTTTCGAATATGCCTTTTATGTCGTGTTTGTGAAAAGAATATTTATTATTGTAGGATGGATGAGTGAAGCAGACAAAACTACAAAAATATATTCAGAGGGAGACAGAAAATTTATTCTATCTTCCAACCAATTTGCAAACGAGTGAACGACAAAAGCTGGGGAAAAGGGAAATAATTACATTTTGATAGAATACGTAGCTGTAGTTTGAAAGGCTAGGGACCCATATGACTTGATAAGTGCTGTTAATTGTCAATTACTTTTATAGTTTGAAGTCCTTATCGAATGTATAGCTGGCATCTCCTAGTTGCCAAACCATATCCTAAAATTCAGTATGATTAAAGGGTTTGTGCCTGATAAATAATATTTTTAAAAATTCGAAATTGTAAAAATTATAGCATCTGTCTACAGTAAAAAAATGAACTAATATATGGTTGATTAGAAGAAACGGTAAATTTATGTTTTTTTTGATGTAGAACTACAACTGTAATTTTTTGCTGTTATTGTAGATAATTTTGATGTAATATTTTGCCTGTAAAATTTGAATAGACTTATAGGATGTATCATGTAACTACTTATTTTAGTTTTAAGTTTTATCCACAACTACAAATTTGTCCCAGTCATGTTTTATTTAATTTTTAAAGTTCAAGTAAGAAAATAAAGAAATGACTATGATATTCTTGTTTTCTAAAATATTATTTTGTAAGCTGTAGAAAAAATATTGTCTTAGAAATATATTTTCATTTTTTGTTCTTTTCTCATTCAATTCTTATAGCTATATTTGATACAACTATAACAAAAAATTCTACAAAAACAATTCTACAATTTTTTTTTCACAAACTATATCCTAACCAATTATCCCCTTAATGACTTACATATAAATGTTCTAAAACAGAAAATAAGTACTTTACGTTTAATGCTTTCTACAATAAAAATAAATAAAAGAAAACAAAAATAGTAACTTTAAAAAATCTTTAGAAAGTATGATTAAAAAAAAAATTATTTTCTATAGATAATGTAGGCGGTAGAAAGCTTCTATATCATTTTTAAAGTATTTGCCAATCAAATCAACCCCTATAGAAAGAGACATGCAGAAGCAGAAATTTTACTATAGATCACACCACCATCTGCCTGCCTACAAGTTAATTTTAATCCTAGTTATAAGTAAACTAGGATTCAATGTAATATATAAAATAAGTTACATGCTGTGCATATTGTTAAACACAACTCAGTGAAGATGAAAAGCTAATAAAATACTATTTATTGATATTTTTTTTCTTTTTACTAGTATATTGTCATGTACATATGGTCATTGATTTTTGGGTTCAACATTGATTGCTGCGTGCTTATTTTATATGATTATACACAATTTTATCTGGTAGCATATTATTTCATAAAACAGTAATTAAATATAACTATAATTCAACCCTATAATTGATAAGGTTACGATTTTTGTAGACACGCTAAACGTATATGCTTCAAGATTTTTAGATAATTAGTGACTCGCATGTCCGTGCCGCCATCACCTCATGTTCATATATTTGGACTTAAGTTCGTCTCCTGAACCACTACTTGATTACAAATCAACTCTTTTTGCTCCATGGACTTAAAAAATCTCATAGTTTCCATAACAAAATGAAATAAAACATCAATAGAGTAATTAGCAGCCAACCTTTTGTTACAACACAAGAAAAAGTCACACTACATACAGAAAAAAAAACTTAATATACATTCATGTTCATGGTTGTAATATGATCATCCATTGGAGACTATCCAACCAGGGGGAGATGGAAACAGCTCAACATACTCCGGTATATCAGCTAAAGATCTAACTCCTTGCTCATTAAATTCATACACGAGGATCCCTTCATGTTTACTAGTGTTATTAACTCCCCACAGGTCCATAAAGATTATAGAGTTAGCTCTAAACCCCTGAATCTCAGTAACCAAGCACGAGATGGAGCAAAATTGCTCCAAGAATAGAACTCGACCATCTATATCTTCCACTTGAATCCAATTGTTATTCTCCTCGTCTAACTCTGAAATTTCGAACCATATCTTCTTCTCACGAATATTTGGTATGCGAAAATCAGACCAGCTCTCTGTGCACATCTCTACGAGAAGTACTTTGTCTCCTGACTTTACAAGCTGTTGGAAAAATAAAAACGTATGAAAATGGAAAACAATATTTAAAGTGTGACGGTGGAAGGTGCGGGCTAGAAAACTAAATCATATGCTCGGATATAAACCCACTTAGAGCATGATTAATTCAGGTCTTCTAAGATGGAATTATCTCTTATTTAAGAGACATTTTTTTAATTTTTTAATTAAAAATTAAGAGATCGTATCTTATAATACGCTAAGAATCTCACCCTAAGAGATCTGTATTAATCATGCTCTTATCACATGTTTTTGAAAACCTTGGGATTTGTCTCAAGACACATGCAAGGATTAGAAAATGTTAATGTCCTTACCCAACGCAACCTTGTCTTGTCACATGGTCTCGACCACGTACTCACTTCTAGAGTTGGCTCTACCACTATTGTTATCCCGGTGCGATCTATGGCGTAAAACTTATTTTTATAGGAAAGTATCGCTTCGAGATGGCCATTGGGTGTTATTTCGAGCTCAGTCCAACGCCCATTGATTGACCTGTACGCAGCGGGACGGTTGAAGCTGAGTTTCCCTAGAATCATAAATTCATTGTTCTCTGCGTCTAAACTCATAAAGCCAATGAATCCTTCCTGCTTCCCCACACTTTCGAATGGTTCGAACCATGACGTGTAACAAGCCACGTGATCTTGAGCTAGCTCAAGGACTTGACAGTTGATCAAGTCAAGTGTAAAATTTGGAGACAACCATCCATACACAGAAGGGTGTTCTCTTCGGAACAAACCATGTAGAATAATATCTCCATTCTCTTTCTCTCGTAGTTTAAACAACCTGTCAATATCAAATTCTTAGCTACGCTATAAAAAAATTATCAAGATTCAAGAAAAGTTGTTACCAAGATTCAAAATTCAAGAACCATGACGCACTAGAAAATTTATCAAGCCACATTATCAAGATTCAAGAAACCACTAAAAAGAATTCGTTACCAATATCGAGGACTGTTGTCGCGATTAGAAAAGTTGACACGGTAGACACGGCTTCTCAAGATATGACAATCATCACCGTAACCACCTGAGTCTAGGGGAAGAGGACATCTAAGTGATGGCATCCGTCGAACTTTAAGGAGACTAGAGGATCGCCAAAAGGAACATACTGACCGAAAGTGGATCAAATCAAAGAGATTGTCGATTCTTAGGGAGATGGAGTGGATGATCTCTGACGGCAACTCCGACCATTTCCCCATTGTTTACTTTCTTTTCTGACTTGATCTTAGGATAATGTGGAGCTTAAAACTAAAACGTGTTGACCTTCTTTGTAACTCTCTTGGTTAATTTATCGTGTCGACTTGTTTATCCAAACCGTATCAAGTTCCATTAATAGAGTAACCGTTTGATGTAAAAACAAAAAGTGGTTAAGTAAAAAAAGTTTTTCTAAGATGAAAAATATTATAGTCCGTTTTTTTCATAGAGAATATGTTATAAAGTTATTACAAGAGATGAATTAAATAATTGAATCTCTGTTATTTGTTCACCATCCTTATCGATAAATTTATCAAAATATTTAGATTATAGACTATAGTATTACATGCACACATAAAATACGATATACATAAAATATATTTTAAGCCCCGTAGTTAGCGTTGGTAACTCTGCAATCACGACGAATCTCTCCAGCTTTTCCGGCCAACACATTGATGGATCCCATCCTCGACATTGCCAAAGCAAAAGACTTCCTAAAATCTTCGAAACCTGAAGCAAACTCTTGCGTGATCTCCTTGGAGTCATCGTTGTAGAGCAACTGTTGGTCCACGCCCAAAACAGCGTTATGAGACATGACACGAGAATAGTAAGAGTTGCTGAATCTGTTGCTCGATCCTGAGTCTGGGTTTAGGTAAACGAGTGGATCGGTTTGGTTCTTTTTTGTTCTTGGAGGACAACGGTTTCGGAGTTCTGACACCAATGTTTTGTTCATGGTCGGGTCTGGTTTTCCTGTGTTCTTGAAGTTGTATAGCCTGTTCACTATGTGGCTGCAATGTGTCTTCCCCATCGAGTGTGCTCCTGTTAGAGTAAATAACATAATTAGAAGTTGTTCATGCATCCAAAAATAAAAAGATCCACGTTCTTATTATAATGTGAAACCTAGTAAACTTTATATAGTGGGTTATTTGTTGCATACTATGAGAAGTAATTAGATTATTGTAATCGTTATGTTAAACTTTATACTTCTTCCGTTTCATTTTAGTTGTCGTTTTAAGTTTTTACACACAAATTAAGAAAACAATTAATTTTACATGTTTTCAAAATAAAAACACATTTACCTTTACCTAACCACATTTTAACCAATAAAAATTAGAATAACATTTAAAATCAATAAATTTTGCATTGAAATTATAAAACGACACTTATTTGAAAGAAAAATTTTATTCTAAAACGACATCTAATTTGAAATGGAGGGAGTAGTAGTTATACATGTTTATAGAGTTCAGGAATTTTTCCAAATGGAATTAAACAAACCTTGTGTATTTTACAATTAAAAAAAAAACTCTTCGTGTATTCCTAAGATTTGAATTGTTTCAATCGCAATTTATGTGTTTGCTTTTACTAGTGAATAAAGTTCAAATAAATTACCTAGAAGAGCAGTCATGTCCAAAACGTCAAGACCTTTGGACTTGAAATATGCCAATGACTCCTCCACTGAGATGGACGGTGACGGTAGATCCACGGCGTCTGCACTTAACGCTCCACCGTCTCTTCTTCCAGTAAACACGGGATAAGAGGGTGCTCCGGCCTAATAATCAGTTCATCCAATCAATAAAAATCGTTACAAAACCACAATGATACTTCTACGTACTTATATAAGAAAGCAACTACATGTATATATATGTACCATGTGAACAGCATCTCTAGTGGCAAGGTTGAGTATATCAGCGCAAGAAACAACACCAGGACAACGCGATTCAAGAACCTTTTTTATCTTCTCGATTACTACAAACCCTCCAAGTCCTCGATTTTGTGGAGCTGTCCTCTCTGAGTTTGGCCCTTGTAAAAGAACCGAAGCATCGCATCCCTACATACATATTTTACATAGAACAACACCATAGGTTACAAAATGAAAGTAACGTAGATTTAGTTATTTAAAAAAAAAACGACCACGTTTGCTACTTACATTAACCATACAATCGGAATAGAGGAGACGAAGTAGCTTGGGGGCAATGCTACTGTCATTCTTATAAAACTTTTCAACTTGGTGTCTAATATAAGTTTCTGCATCATCACAAGTGTTAGTAACTTTGTAATAATGCCAAACCAGCTTCACCGGTGGGTTCAATCCCGTCGCAGCCTCAACCTTCGCCATTCCGGTTAAGCTTATGACTACGAGGGCCAATAGTGGGAAAAATAGTACAAACTGACTCATTTTAAATTTTATAAAAATGAAAAAAATTATCTTCCACCACAAAAACCCTTGTTTTCTTGATTAAAAATTTAAAAGTAGGAGATTCTTGTTATTTTGTAACAAACAGAGGAAAAATAAATGTAATGAATTAAGAGATATGGAAAGTTGGTTGATGAAGAGGGGTATATATAAGGTTTGACTAGGGTGGCACATCCACGTGGTGAACCGGATATATCGTTATATACACATATTATTACGTTCTGACTTTGATCGTTTTGGTGTTCATTGCAAGGGAGCGTGTGTAGAACAAACGTGGTTTCACATGAAACGATGTTCTTTCACGTTCGATACCATGATTAGTCTTTTCTTTTTGTCAGGCTAGTAATGCTTGTATCTTAGATTATGTAAGTTGTTTCGTGATTGGTGAACAACAAATGTTGAGTTCACACCTAAAATATTGTGATGAAATACCTCTTATCATTTTCTATAAATGAATACTTTTTATCATTTAGAAAAAGTACTACAAATGTATGTACTCATCATTCTTTTTCCGTTCGCATTTTTCTCATATATATTCGCTTAACTTGTATTATATTTTACCAAAAAACTTGTAACTTTTTTTGATAATCCGTTACATACATTTATAAGGTATAATTAGTTTCTGAATATATATATCCCAAAAATATTAGGTTTGGTCTCTAAAATTTAAAATGATATACACAAGAAAACTTAAAATACTCAAGCCATATAAAAAGTATTTAAATTTATAAAAAATATTTGTAATCCCCCGATAACTAAAAGTAATCATCTGTTGAGAAATGATGGTTGGGACATATCCGGAAATGGACCAGACCACATCAGTCTCACTTCAGTCCAAGACCAGGCGACAAGCACCTTATCCTTATCCATACCAGGCGGCCAAGACTTGTCATTATCCTCCCTTGTATTTATCCATATGTTGTAGTTATCCTAATCATTATAGGATTAGGATAATCATCCCCTTTAT